AGTGCACTCGACGAGTCGGGTCAAAGTTTGACCGTTGACTTTGGTTGACTTTTAGGGTTTGGTCAACAATGAGGGCCTTTGAGCCAAAGGAGGGTAAAATGGTCTTTTACCCTTCTGAGGGTGCCTAAGAGGGTTGAGTCTAGTTCTGAGAGTTATATTTATGAGAGTATTACTTTATGTGTTTAGGCGGAGGCTAGATCGTATTTCTACCAAGTCAGTGATTTACCGGGACATCTGAGGTGAGTCTTCTCACTATACTTTACCTTGAGTGGTAATTAGAGTTATGTGACAGAGTTATCGTATGCTATTATGTGATGTGTTGTACTGCATTATTTCTTTGTGGTTTATGTCATGTGTATATCAGAGTATATCAGAGTTAGAACCGGAAGGTTCACAGAGTTAGGACCAGAGGGTCCATAGAGTTAGGGCCCACAGGCCCACAGAGTTATGGCCTCGAGTGGCTAGTATATGTATGTATGGTATTTTGGGGAACTCACTAAGCTTTATGCTTACAGTGTTATGTGTTATGTGTTTCAGGTACTAGTGATGATCACGGGAAGGCACCGACATGATTCGTACACACGCATGAGTTTTTATGTATTTTGATCTTGGGAAATATTTGTGAAACAAAGTATGATACAATGGGGTTTTATCAATAAATGTGTTTGGAAAAGTGTGTTTAAAATGTGAAAATTTTGTTTTAAATTTTACGGTGTTACAGTATTCTCCCCCATAAAACATATGAAAACTGAAAATAGAGGGGTATGAAGCTCACCTTGAGTTGTAGTTTCGGTTTTGAAGAGAGAAAAGAAGAAAATTTCGATCCTATCAAGTCTTCTTGGTAGATCTCGAGTTTAGTGGTTTCTAAGGTGCAAGATCACAAGTTGGAATAGATTTTGAAGAGATTTTTTATGGAATGAAGTAGCTAGATCATGGATTTAACATCAACTTACCTTAGATGATGTGTTTGTGGGAAAATCTCCTTGAAAGCTTCCTAATTCTCGAAAACTTGATGAATGAGTGTAAGGATGTTCTAGTGAGAGTTTGAGAGAATGGAAATGAATCTTGTGAGTGTGTGTGTGTTGTGTTCGGCCGAGAGAAGAAGAGAGGAAAGAAGAGAGAAGGCTGATGAGATGGTTGCATGGAACTATGAGAGAATGCATGGAAGACCATTAAGTAAACATGAGGTGGTACACACAAAGTCAACTCCTCTTTCTTTGTGGGCTTGGGCCGAGAATGGAGAGGGAAAAGAGAAAGAGTTGGCTCTTGATTGCTTAGCCCATATTATGACTCACTTTAGATGATGTTTGGCCCTAATAAATTAAGGTATAATTTTTATGACCTATTAGGGCTAAATTAAGTTGATTGTGACCCATTAAGACCCATTAAAGTTAACCTAGTATATTTTGGGCTCATAAGGCCCAAAAGTATTAAGTTTCATGTATATGGCTCCAACTAGGGCCCATTTGAGAGTTCTAGGTTCAAGATAGACAAATTGGAAATTTATTAGTCCATTAGGCCCAATAAGGAAATCCTAATCCAATATGGACTTAAATCTTGATTTCAAAGGTTTCCAATTCTTTGTTGACCATTTGTAGTGCTAGAATGAAGTATTTGATGAAGTTTTGTTGTTATAGAATAAGCATCATGCATGCTTTCATGTTATTGATGCATAGTTGTTATAAATGTTGTAGTTATAAGGCCTTAAAATTCCTAGTTGTGACAAAAACGAAAGTGAAATGGTTGTTTGTGAACAAAAGCATAAAGGTGAATGGTCAATGCTGTAAGTAGTTTTTTAAAACCAACATAAGTTGGAGGACCAAAAGTGACAAAAAAAAAGAGGAGCAACATACATAACCTTAGGGATCAATCTTGCCAAACACTTAGAAAGTTTACTATTTCTAAATTATATATATATATATATATATATATATATATATATATATATATTAATCAGGACATAATGTTTATAACAAGGCCAATGGGTGAGTAGTTTTTTTTATCAATGGTAAAAAAGTGTCACGTTAAAGCCACATCAATTTTTATATTTTTTACAATTTTTACCTACAAGATAGGGTGTGGTAAATAGTTTACTTATGAGTTTTTTTTTTTTTTTTTTTTTTTTTTTTTTTTTTTTTTTTTTTTTTTTTTTAATTTCAATAAAAAATAACAATTTTTTTAAAAACATACTAAAATTAAAAATTACATTTTAGAAATCCTAAAAGTAAAGAATAACATGAAATTAAAAATTACATTTAAAAAAAACATGAAGTGAAAAATTAAAAAAAATAAAAATAGAAAAAACATAACATCGAAATTTCATTTGCGGTTTGCTTATATTTTTCATGAATGGAGTGTTTCACCGCTTTAGCCGCCTCTTGATGTAACGACCGAAATTTTAAAGAAAAATTTTCATTTTTAATTAATCATACACATTTGCATAAACCATGAAATCCCAAGACAATTGTTTCATATCCACATTCATTACAACTTTATTTAAAAACACCAGAGTGTCTCATAGCATATTAGTGAGAGAGAGAGAGAGAGAGAGAGAGAGAGCATGTCGCGCCATCACGCCCCTTGGGCAAACAAATCCGTAAACGGTAAGCTGAAAGCTTAGTGGGTTTCCCAGAGCATACTCACACACAACCCACATACAACATATCATATCAACTAAAACAACCATACATATCACATAAGACCCTTTATTTTCATAACCGTTAATCTGCAAGGGAACGACTAACGTCAGGTGTAAGTGTAATAATATTGATCTTATACGGTACGACCGCACGCTTGGAATTGCTAGCTACACCTACGTCTGACGATATGTATTTTGGCGTTGGCGTTATGACCATGTGTTACAACAGGGTGAATGACTTTAGCATGCCCTATTATGGTGTCGGTGCAATAATAAAGTACAATGTCATGAGTTCGGTTATGAGTTCATTATAAAATCTCAGTTTTGTTTTGTTACCGTGTAGAATCGATATTGGGTATATACGTGGTTTTTGTTCAGTAATACTAGTTGAAAGAGACTGTATGTAGTGGGATAGCTTGAGACTCAAAATGATAAGTGTCAATACCAGAAATTAAGTTGTATAACACTTAAATAATATCATGACACGACTCAACAAGGTTTACTAACTTACATAAAACAAGTTATTTATGTAAACCCTTTTGTTCTTGTACAGAAACATAATATGTATGTGGGAGGAATTTGCCCCACTATTTAAGTGTCGGTTCCCAAATTAAGCAAAATATATAATACTTAATTATTGTCACAACATGAATTTTACAAAGTTTAAAAATTTGAAAACTTATGAGTTTTACATATAAATTATACGAATGCTTATACAAGGATTTAATAATAAATTTGATTATTTTAAATCCTTAGGCTTTCTTTTATATATATTGGAATTCAAAAATCCTTATATAAAAAGACATTTTGGTCATGAGAACTGTAAGAATTTGTTTGATTTACTTATATATTTGACAAATGATGTATTTTTGGATTTGAGAGAAAGATATTTCTAAATGAGTATAAACATACTTTTATGACTCAATTATTTTATACTTTTGATTAAAAAGTATATATTTATAAAAGCTGGTCAACCAAATAAATTTTATAAAACGTTTTTGGGTATAAAAATACTTTGTGTCAAAACTTGTAGAACTCACCAACAATTTTGTTGACGTATTTTAAATGCATGTATTCTCAAGTTATTTAGCAGAATGGAAGTGTTCTCTCCGAAGGCTCTCCATTACATTTATTATACCCTTGTAAACGTTGTTCGTTAGGCGTGTGTCGTGATCTAGCGATAGTCATTATCAATGTAATTTCTATTTCGGTAATAATAGAAGACTATATTTGTACTCTTCCATGTATGTTCAATAACCTTGATTACTGGTTCATGTCGCGCACATCGACGTTTACGTCGTCGGACGGGGGTATGACAGTAAAGGTCAGTATGAAAGGGCAAGGGCATTAGCATTTACACTAATTGATGGCAAGTTGACTAATCACTATGTTTGGATATGTGATTATGGTAGTGAAGTTTGAGATCAAACCCAAGAAGCACTTTTGACATTTGAGTTGATGTCAATCCGGATGCAAAATATTTCAAAAGAATCCACATTTGTTTTAAGGCTTTAAAAGAAGGATGGTTGAAAAGATATCATAAATTGATTTATTTAGATGGATGTTTTCTGAAAGGGAAAGTTAAAGTGGAGTTGCTAGCTACAAGTGATCGAGAAGGAAACAACCACATTTACCCCATTGCATGGGTGGTTGTGAATGTAGAGAAATAAAGATAACTGGAAGTGGTTCATCGAGTTACTAAAATTGGATATTGAAACACTAAAAGGAAATGGACTTACTTTAATGTCATACCAACATAAGGCAATTTTCTACTTATTAATGCTTATTTTGACCAATATGAATATATTGTGGACAATCCTTATGTGAAAACAACCCATATGGACATTTGTGGACATTTTTAGCAAATTTTGACATATTAGAAATGATAATATAGTCATGATGTGAAACCAACCCCTACGGACATTTGTGGATACTTTTTATCAAATTTTGACATATTAGAAAACTCAAAAGTACCCCTATGTTAAAACAGCCCCTGTAAACATTTCTGAACATTTTTAACAAATTTTGACATACTAGAAATGACAAAACAACACATATGTTTAAATAGCCCCTATGTACATTTATTGACACTTTTAACAAATTTTGACATATTAGAAATAATAAACCAACCCCTACTTATGTCAAAACAACCCTTACTTATATCATATATAAATGTAGGGTCTTATTGAAGCCGTGGAGGAGGTGATGCCACATGATGTGCGCCATATTTATGCATATTTTTACAAGCATTTCACTTGAGAGATATATAAAACCTTGTTTTGGCAAGCTACAATGTCCATAACATATCAAGAGTTCAAAAACAATATGGAAAAAGATGAAAGGGTTGAACAATGATGCATGTGATAATCTCATGAAAAGAAATCCTAAAACATGGTGTAGGGCCTATTTTGTAACAGATAAGGCATGCGAGGCTATAGAAAATGGAATATACGACTCTTTTAACTCTGCAATCGTTGGTGCTAAGGTAAACCGTTGATAACCATGTTAGAAGAGATTATACTTCATGTGATGGGAGGTTTGATGTAATGATAAGGAGTACAAATTCAAGGAAAACTGTTGTTGGACCAAAGGTACTTCAAAAGATGAGAAAATGGCACAAAACATGAGGTATGGGTTGTCTCCCATTTACAAATTGGATTGTTCTATAAAAAAAATGTAAAAATATTATACCAACTTTACATATTTACTAGGAATTGGATGGTTATCCCAAGTGGGCCTCTATTGGAGGTTACGAGTGGTTATGAAGGATATATGGTAGACTTGGTATGATGGATATGTACATGCAGCCTATGGGTTTTATCTAGTCTTCCATGTGTACATGCATGCGTGACTATAAACCATACCCACCACAATCTCATTGACTATGTAATTGATCAGTTCAAGAAGGAAAAGTATCAGTTGGCTTATAACACTTCTATTGTTCCCTTAAATGGAAGCAAATTATAGGTTAAAACTCCATATGATAATCCATTGCCCTCTAAAGAACGCAAGATGTCAGGAAGGCCTTCTATTAAAAAAGTGTCACAATTGTTTCCAAGAAGGATACAATGTTAGGACATGCAAGAATGAAAAGATTGTGCCCCCTCCTAAGTAAGAAAACCCTCATGGTAGGACTAAAATAACAAAATTTGATGAAAGATCTCCTAAAGGACCATCTGCAGCTACAAGTGGTGGTAGAAGAGGAAGAGGACCAATGGGGGTAAGAGGTGGAAGACAATCATCTGCAGGTACAAGTGGTGCTAGAGGAGGAAGGTCATTGATTGATGAAATGATTTATTCACCAATAGAAAATGAAGTTATAAACATGTTTGATAATCTTGAGGAAGAACTACATACGGTTGAAATGGTAAAGGGATAAAGTGAACCTATGATGTAATTCCCCGAATCTCAATTTGATGATAGAGGGCTTGAAACTCAAGATAGTGGAGTGCCTGAAACTCAAGAGGGAGTGTCTGGAACTCAATTTCATATTAAAATTGGTAAGATATAATTTTATCTTACACACACACACACACACACACACACATATATATATATATATATATATATATTAAATGTAATACTTTCATAACTTTTGCAGCTAATTTGGAAGATCAATCTCATGTGTTTGGCGAGATGCAATTGACGTACCTATTATCCGTGAAAAGCTCAAACCAAGAAATCCATCTAAAAGGATCTACAAAAGATAACCATGTTAATTTAGAATACTAGATTTAGGAGTCGGAATAGGACAACACTATGGTCTTTTGTGATGATTTTTGATACTTGGAATTTAGTATTCCTACTTATTTGTTATTCAAATGTAACTACATTATGTACCTTTAACATGTTATATTCTCCTATGTTGTTAATGTAGTGGTGTTTTTTCGTTTTTTGCCCCTAAACAACAAACCATTTCCTATTTCCTTTTTTAGGATGGAATGGAAATAAATTCCATTATAACATGTTTAGAAATAGGTGTATTGAAATGTAGCTACATTGTGTGTTTGTTTTGTGTTTTTCCTATGAACCCTTGAAAATGACATTTTAGTTTTTTGTTTTTCTCTTTTTCTGTAACTACATGATATCACTTTTTTACAATACACATAAACATAAATTCCAATTTCAGTTTCATTTCAATTTTTTCCGGATCATATATTTTTGTCGTGTCGTGTAATGGATTGTTTTTATGGGATTGTTTTTTAAATATCCTTAAGTAATTATATATAATTATAATATTTCATATTAGAAAAAAAACATTAGTTCAGGTGTATTATGGGTAACGGTTCCAAAAAAATGAGAACCCAAACCGGTGATAATATTGTCCGAATGTTAAAATTTTGTGCAAAATTTATAACAATAATAATAATAATGGTAAAATATAATAATAATAATAATAATAATAATAATAATAATTATATAAATTAAAAAGGAATTAAAAGCAAAAAAGAAAAAAACAAAAACAAAAACAAAAACAAAAATAAAAAAATAAAAGAGTACAAAAAATAAAATTAAGACGGTGGAATTGAAAAAGAAGAAGATTTCGTGTATTACTTCAAAAGTAGTATACTGGTATTATAAAATTTTTAAATACAATTATATGATCATGGTGCGACTGACTGGCGCATTCCCATCAAATTCTATATTTTTTTTGCCCTATTTATTTGGATTGATTTTCTAAATATACATACCTTAATGTTTTTATTTTATATTTAGTCTCTTTTCATTTTAGTAATTTTGAAATAATTAACAAATAAATGTTGTATATTAACCTAAGAAATCACAATCTATTACATACGCTTAAAATACATTAATATTATAAAATTATTTTTTTGTTGAATTAATATCCGTTAAACTAGATTTGTCTTACGATTTGTTAAATATAAAAAAAAATGTATTTTTTTAAAGCAAGCTCACTATAATAGTAAAATGAAAACTCCAATAACTAAAGTTATAAACAAAACAAATGAACATGAATGTAATTTTGTTTATATACGTTCGTTTAAGTTTAACCAAACAAATGAACGAATACGGTTGAATTGATGAACGTTCAGTTCGTTTACAATCATACTTATAGATTTAAAGAAAAAAATTCATTATATTATATAAAACATAATATCCGTTTTTTATTTAGTTGTCAAACAAATTATATAATTTATTATTGCTAGTTTTTTAAAAAATAAAGCAATTAATTTTTTTCCTATTATTTGGTATGCTTTCGATTCGTCATTTACCACTATATCGGTTATTTTCAATTCTTTGTCCGGTTGGTTGTGGCGATAGTGGTGTTGGTGGTGTCTGGAGGTGGTAGATGTGTTGATGACGATGACGGTAGTTGGTGGTTGGTGGTGGCGATGGCAGTGGTGGTTGGTTGTGGTGGTGTCTGTACGTTGTAGATGTGTTGATGACGATGACGGTGATAGATGTGGTGGTGGCGACAATGGTGGTGGTTGCTGACAGATGGAAGGTGGTTGATTTATATATGAATATAGTTACATTTATATTCACATATAAATATTACTCATCCCCCATCATGTCTATACGACAACACGTTTTTTGATAAAAATAAATTATTCACTGAGAATGATTCCTATTTTCACAATATTTTTTGTTTCAACTGAACTTACATCTTTCTCTCTTTATATATATATATATATATATATATATATATATATATATATATATATATAGGAAAAGTGAATATATTCTTAAGAGTATATAAGCTTAGGTACCCAAATTTACCATACCACGTCGTTTTGTATCATATAATTCATTCTAATTGTCTAAGGTTCTTATAATTTAACTTCTAACTTGATTTACTTCCATGATTTTTATAAATTACACATTTATCTTACTCTTAAATAATTTGGTCAGCAAAAAGATGTGATGTAAGAGGAAGATAATAATGGAATTTCGAAAATCTTGAAAGTAAATCAAGTTAGGGTTGAAGTTTAATAACATTATAACGAATATATCAAACAAAACGACATATTATGGTGTGTTTGGGTACCTAAGGTTATATACCCTTATAAGGGTATATTCACTTTTCCCATATTGATAGTTTATTTTGTTTACTTCTTTTTATAGTTTATTTTAGTTTATTTCATCCATAGTTTAGATAATTTCCATGCATATTTTCCTTTTTGTTATTTTATGACTATTTGGGGCACTTTCGAATTTTGTGAGCAAAATTGCAGGTTTTCGGGTCTAGCGGAGCGGGAGTGTTCGGGACGTATGGAAACCAACGAGATTTGGTAGTCAAAAAAGGATGTTAGGCTTGGTGATTGTGGAGATGATGCATGGAGCGAGCTTGATGATTATTTGAAAGCTTGGGGAGAAATAAACTTTAAATTTGCAAGATGCGGGAGTTTATTCAAGCGTGCGTAGATTATTAATCGGGCGAGTTTGGAGGATTTGAAGATGCCAAATTGGGCTTAAAATGAAGAAAAACTTGAAGAAAATGGGATAGGAGGTGATTGGATTCGATCTGGGCTAGTGGAATATGCTTTGGAGGCCCAAAAACTCAAAGAAACCCATGTAAGGCACCACCCGCGCAACAGCACGCGGGTCGCGCAAGGCTTTGCAGGGGTAATTTCGGAAATCCATTTGGAAGGCTATTTGAGGAAGGTTGGTGCCCATCTTTTGCAAACTCTTGGATATCCTATTTTTGAAGATTATCTCTGGAGTTTTGAAGACTTTTGAAGGCCAAACACACCTCAAGAACATCATCTTTTTACCTCTTGATTCTTTGCTTAATGTTTGGTACAATCTTCTCTAACTTTGTTTCTTTGAGTTTAGCCATGCTTGGCTAAACTAATCTTGGTTGACTTTTGTTGAATCATTTGAACTTTTGTTGAATGTTGAAGAATCCATGAACATGTTCTTAAATCTTTATGAGAATGTTTTGTATTTTAACATCTTATCACTACTTGTATGTTTTAGTTCATTAGTTTAAATGTGTTTGTGGTGATTAGTTGACTAATTTTTTGATTAAGTAAAGGATCCTCAAATTAGCAAGCAAAAAATGATTTTTGTGTTGTTTTTGCTTCACACACTCTTAAAAACATTTCCTCCAACATGGTGGTGAAAGCATTTGACCCCTCTTGGATTTGGTGACTTTTTGGTTTTAATGCTAGTTGACTTTCACTAATTACATGCTTAATGTAAATTGTGACATTGACTAAGGAAATTGTTATGAGTTTCTCTAACCATTTTATCAACTAAGAAAAGTCTAGGTAATCTCAAGCTTCTTGGATTACTATAGCCAAATTGAGGATTTAAAACAAGTACTGCACCATTGGATTCTAATGATATGTTCATCAAAAGTCAAAGTGAGGAAACCTTAAGTCAACCATCATTCTC